GGCAAACATGATCAGTACTCTAAACATGCAAAGCCAGGTTTCTTTGTGTGGACTATGAACTATAATTTGAGTAGTGATAAATAATGGCCAACTTAGGGATGCGTATTCTGTGCCGCTGTTGATGCCAAGAACACACAGCAAACGGTAATCGAGCCACGGTCAACTCTCAGCCACGCTGTCACTCTCTATGTGCCTCTCTTTCGCTCTCTGCAGAGAATGCTGGTTGCCCCTGACAACAGTTGCCAGGAGACCATTCTGAAGTGACTTTATAGCATCGGGCACGTTTATACCGGGGCTCATGAGGGATAGAACCAATTTAGTGTTTCTTTCAAACGCAAATGTGCGTTTAAATGGGAAAGATGCATCAATGTACAAATATGGGGGGGTAGAAAGAGTTTTCCTGCTAGTGCAGCACTGTAGCATCCAGCAGAAGCTGCTATGACATGTGTTCTTGTGGGGGAAATAGAAATGCAGTCAGTTGGATGATTATGCTTTTGTTGAATCTGGCTAAAACAACACACTTTTAATCAGTGGAAGCACAAAGGCTGCTTCTTTCGTCTATGGAAGTTATGTTAATCAGACTGATTAAAAATTCTCTCTCTCTTACTCTCTCTCTCCCTCCCTCTCTCTCTCTCCCTCTCTCTATCCCTCATGTCCTTCTCCTGCAAAACCCTGCTCACATTACCCTCTACCATCCATCTTTCTCCCTCTCTAATTCTCCGTCCCTCTGCAGTAGTGAGATAAGATGTTCCTCCCCCTGAGCGTTAGTGACGTGTGAGAGAAGTGGTGCCCCGCTCCTCTCCCGCTCCCTTTAACCACCGCCATCCCTGCAGGCATTGCTGTTTAATGAACTCTAGATTGGATTTCAGACAAATTCCCTCCGGCAACAATCAAACCGGCTCTCTCAAACATGGCCAGGACCCTTGGCGTTGGGAACGGGCTAAATTAGTTTGTCACTCCAGTATATCATGGTAAATGACAGCGTTAACCAACTGTGTTGAAATCTTGTTGAAAACTCTCTCAGGTCTTCGGATGTTAAGTATGTGTGTGAGTTTTATAAACATCGAGGCCTATCACTGCTGGCGTAATTCCCGGATTAACCCATCTACTGTACAGCAGCTTACCTCGGGTCCCCACCAGGAAGGAGGATTTTAAATATTTAATGATGATAATGACAATAATTACCACTCTTCATGGCTTACTACTTTAATCCCCCAAAAAACACATAGATCTGCCATTTTCAATTTAGCTAATTGCTCTTTTGCCTGTGTGAGCAATTTCATTTGGATGCCAAGAAAAAAATCAAAGATGGCCGTTGTAGACTCTGTTGGTGCTGCCCAAAAAATGCTGCAAAACAAAACAAGCCCTAAATTATTTTAATGTTCTAGGACAATAAAACATGGACGCTGGCGACTGTTTATTTTTGCCCGAACATGTAAGCATCCATTCCAATCTTTTTCTCCATCGGACCACCCGCTGTATTGACAGTGATTGTAAACAGGCACATAGACATCTCCGTTTCTCCAAATCCCTCCTGGGTCAATGCTATTGGTCTACCTACAAAAGAAGTCCCAGTGCCGTGTTCAGGAGTCGGCAGAGGTTCTCTCTCCCGTAACATTGATTTAGGTGTAATCCTGTGACAGGGTTGCACATTGACTCATGGGTCCCTCTGTTCCCAGCCAGACACCTCGGCACACACAGTGAAAATCGAAGAATATGACTTCTCTTTTCTTTTTTTTTTCATCCTCTCCACCTGGCTCTTTCTCTCTATTATGCTCTTCTATTATACTGCCAACCTGCTTTTGTTAAATTTGGTTACCTGGGTGGCTCGTCCAGATTCAGCCGTGTTTTAAAACTAGCAGATATTCCCCAGTGGAAGTTCCACCATTGTGTATCTGTTCAATGGCAGATATCAAAACCGTATCAACAAAATAGAAAATATTGTCTGGCTTTTAAAATGGCCACAATGACAGATGGGACAACAGATTAAAACACAAAAAGAGATTGAGCTGAAGCCTCAAGTTAGAGCGGCCTGAAAAGAAAGAAAATAACCTCTGATGCATGCATTCATTAATTCTTTTGTTTCCCTGTTTACAGTCTGTTCAGCTGCAGCGTATTACAGCTCATTGGACGTCTGTTTTCATCAGTGAAATTGCTGCTCGAAACACAAACAGCAAGAGAAAATTAAACGGCATTTTGTACATTTTCTCAAAAGGTAAATAATGCACGTATCTGAAAGTATTGTTGCAAGAAATTAATACCGCAGAATATAGAAAATCAGAAGATAGAAGCGAACTAGAACCGCATGGCATTGGAGCGATAAATAAAAACACTTGGACCAAGCTGTGTCACTTCACGTGTGTGTTATAGAAAAACTCACCAGGGATTCATTATGGGGTCCAGCTGGGCCAACAGGGACCGGAGTGAGCATGAGGAGAGGGGAATGGGAGAAGGGGGATGGGGAGACAAAGAGGGTGGAGATGGGTTTAAGGGCAATGTGCGCTGCAGTGTGCACTGCACTGTGCAGTATCGTCCCATGATTGTTATAGTTATCACCCCCTATATCCCAACCACACATGCTCTCCTTTATGCGTTTCTATGGGAAGGTGTATTAATGGCTGGGAAGAGTTGGGGGCAGGGATGAGATGTGTGCGTGTGCGTGCGTGTGTGTGTGTGTGTGTGTGTGTGTGTGTGTGTGCATGTGGGTTTTGCCGACAGGTTAACATTCACTGTCAGCAGTAATGCATTATGGTGATATATCAGGCTGTATGTCACAGTGGGTTGACATACACATGGTCATCTCTCCAGGTGGGGAAGAAAGCTCATTTTCAATGTTGTTTCATCCTAAAAACGTATTTCTACACCATTTTTAGCCCTTTTCAAAGATCTCATGTAGCCGAGCTAAAGTAGCAATATGTATTCAGCCAACATTCCTAAAAGAAACTGGAATCAAAATAGAGAATTGAACAAATGATGGCAAAAAAAGACATTCTGGGAATTGTGAAGGTGAAAGGTGCTGGAGGCGTGTTTATCAGGCTACATTTAGGAAACTACCTTTAGTCTACCACTTCTCTGAGGTCAGAGGTCAGCTAATGACATTTAAGCTCCTCCCACTGCCTCCATGTAGAAACCTCTGCAGCACTTAAGCAATTTTTACATCGTCAGTAAGTGTGTGGGACAGATTTAGGAGTTGATATAGTGTGTGTGCCTTTGCCTCTGTGTTTATTTATTCATCTCTGTGTCCTTGGCATGCGTGCCTGTGTGTGCATGTCTGTTTGAGGATGTACTGTAATACAATCACATGGTCCTATAGCGATGTACTGTGTGAAGTGGTGAATTGGACCAAGGACTTCACGCTTTGTAAATGACATACATGACTATGAATACAGTGGATTGGGGTTCATTTTAATTAGATGTTCATTAGCTCAATGATTGTGAATATTGCCTCCCATTTCAATTTATAGGCCCCAAAACAGTAATTTTGTTTCCGATGATGCAGTCCAATTAAAACCAGAATACCGAGTAACCATCCTTCAGAATCAGGTTTAGAAAATAGTATCCTATTCATTGCCGGGACACAGACATCAGCATTGATCAGTTTGACAGCACCTTCACTGCATTAGCTCACATGAATATTCTAACGGGCCACCTGCAGGTCGAACGTTATTGATAGTGCGTAGATGTCTCTGCCAGCCTGCAATCAATGCAGTTATGCGACAGTGGGTTCCAGTCTCACCGCTTTTTCATCGCCGCAACTGTCATGTGACGCTGTACCAGTCGGCATGCGTTTTTAGGTTTTCAGCACCAATCAATCCGCAGACTATTGAGAAACAGCTGCAGGGGTTCAAATAGTGTTGCAACACACACACACTTTGACACCATCGGACCCATTTATGTCTCCTGTAGAAAAGGGCAAACTCATTATTTTCATCACCAGGTGTAAATTGGTTAATTTGTGAATTTAATAATGAAGGTTGTTATTACAAAAGCGTCAGTGCAATAGTTAATCCTTTGTAAAGGTCTGCGGTACATCACATTACACGGTGCATAAGAACTAATTAGGGGTCCTCAGCGGCGGTGTCTGCTGTGCTTAATTTGTTTAATTGTATGGTTTTTTTTATGTCTTATCTGGGTCAATACAGAGGAGAAGGCTAAAACTAATTGATAGAAAGCAAGAAGGAGGTAGAGAAAGCTCTTCACTTGGTGTAATGCAGGCCGGTTGCACTCAGAAGGCAGTCGCCTGAACGACTGGTGTCTCCTCGCCACAGTAACGTTCATCTGCTGCCACGAGAAAGCCAACAGTCACAGGAATGCACGCTTTTTATTTATTTATTTCACTTTTTAACGGCCTCACTGCCTCTGCATACTCCTGCCTTGATATTGTTGCCATGGCAATGGCAAAATGCAGCCTGGTTGTGGCAGCAGTGGTGGTGGTGGTGGTTTGTCCGTGTTTTCGTCCATTTGAAAGGAAAAACATTAACTCACATTTTACATAACACACACACAAAGAGATGCACTCGGCCATCGCCGTTCATTTTTCTTCAGCCGTGAAGAACAAGAACATGATATGAAACCAAGATCGTAACAGGCTCTGACACGCCAGAAGACTGCTTACACGTCATGGATGTGGGTCCTGGTGCTGCTGTAGCTGTTATATGTGGAATGCAGGGACAAGGTGTGTGCAAGTGTGTGTGCTGGGGCATCTGTGTGTTGAAGAGGGTGACTCATGCCTTGTCTATTAGGAGAATAGAGAGCGATCAGGTTGCTAGGCAATTAGGAACTACTATTGTTCCTCCGGACAATAGTAGTGGCCTCCCATCTCTTTCTCTGTCTCTTTTGGTTTCTTACTTTCGGGTTTGTAGACACACGCACACTATAAATGTACATTACGTTTGACCCCCTCCCAGCTTGTGGATTGGGCGGGAACAAGGAGTTGTCGGTAGCAGCGGGTGAGGATGGACAAACGGAGAGAGAGGGAGAGGAAAGGGAGCACGAGCAGGAGAGCTGTACGGTGAAAAAAAGAAAAAAGACCTGCAATCATTTGCCACAGTGAAGGGAACAAATGTAGCTGGAGGCAGTGAGGGAGTTAGGGACATGGGGACAGGCAGAGAGAGAGAACGATAGAGAGACCTTTCATGGACATTTCACATTCAAATAGAGGAGGATTGGACACCAACTGACAGGTCGGCAGAAGGAAGCACCAGGACTTTGGCACGGCCGTCTCTCCTCCTGCTCCTCACTGTGTGTGTGTGTGTGTGTGTGTGTGTGTGTGTGTGTGTGTGTGTGTGTGTGTGTGTGTGTGTGTGTGTGTGTGTGTGTGTGTGCCTGTCACACACACACACACACACGCAGGCTCTCTCTGTGTGCCTGTCAGTGCACGAGGCTCTCTGGGTGGGTGGGGAGCCAGGCTTGTGGAAGAGATGTTCACTCTGAGGATGAGACAGCGTTTCTAACAGGATCTATTTGCGGACTCGGAAAATACACACTGACACAGCTGAGGGCACCAGAGCCCACCGGAACCAACCGAATTAGCCATGGAGGGACTTCTGTCTCCGATGAGGACGCGGGTAGGTTACCATGGGGATTGCAGAGCATCCCACCTATGGTTTCCTCCACAGGAATCAATCACCCGAATGGCGAGCTACCTGCGTTTACGGGGCTGTGGGCAGAATGCTGGGAGACAGCAGGAGACACGGGAGGTCTCAGATGTTGCATTGCATTGTAGAAAACTGAAAAAATGTGTATATGCACCAGTATTTCTGTGTGTGTGTGTGTGTGTGTGTGTGTGTGTGTGTGTGTGTGTGTGTGTGTGTGTGTGTGTGTGTGTGTGTGTGTCCATGCATATTAACAAAGGGGTTGCATTGAAAGAATGACTCAGTGTCTCACAGTGGTACCCAGCTCCTTTTAGTACAAACCACTGTTCTCCTTGTGACAACATAGGATAGAGGAGGAAGATGTGTGAGGTTCAGTGTGTTCAGTGAATTGGGTGAATATCTAAAAGTGGTAATTCACTATTGTTCTTGGTTCACAGGAGCTTCTGTTTATGATGTTGGCATCTCTATCGGACATTGGACCTTTTAGTTGTGTGTCTCGCTGTGCTCAGAGCAGCTATCTGACAGTGAGTGTTCGTGTCTGTGCCGTACAGAACCAGCTAATGAAATACCGACATGATGTGAGGGCGTGTGTGTGTGTGTGTGTGTGTGCGTGGTGTGTGTGTGTGTGTGTGTGTGTGTGTGTGTGTGTGTGTGTGTGTGTGTGTGTGTGTGTGTGTGTGTGTGTGTGTGTGTGTGTCAGAGCACCTGTGTTTCTGTCAGAGCACACTTTGTTATTTGCCTGTATCCATGTGCCTGCATGTGACATCCCGCACAGTTGCATTGATTGCAGTAGACCACGAGAGGTGAGTTGAGATCTGAGATTAAAACCAGTTTGTTCCGGCTGGGTTTTAATGTTTTGAGACATACAGTTTTTATGTGAGTGTTAGGTTGTGTAACGTGTGACAGACTGCAGTATTGAATCTGGAATAATGTTATTAATATTTACAAAGGCACAGGGCTGTAGTGGAGGGTAAACGCACGTAAACGCCGTTTACGCACCTCTAGAATTTGGAAATAACGTTTACGCACCTATAAATAGCGTTTACGCACCTATAAATAGCGTTTACGCACCTCAAAGTTCCCTGCGCCTTGTATTCTTCCGTTGGAATAATCCGAAATACACTTGTTGTAATTTTAAAACAGCTAAGAATACGTTTCCTATTGTTGAACATATAAACGGCGTAGTCTGAATCATGTTCATCTGCGCTGTATTACGGTCTGTGAGCATCCAATCAGTGCCTTGCGGCTGCAGCAGCGACCAATCAGGATCCAGGAGGCACATACACGCTGTGGATCAGCCCAGTGGTCCCCAACCTTTCTTACCTCACGGACCGGTTTCATGTCAGACAATATTTCGCGGACCGGTCGAGAAGGTCCGACGGGGGGGGGGGGGGGGGGGGGGGGGGGGGTAGTAGTCGCGCTCTGTGTTCGCTGGTCGTGCACGGTAAAAGAAAAACGCCTGGTGACGCGTAGATTAGAAAACAAGTCAGTTCTCAATGTGAAAACAAAACATGCTGTATAGGCTATTTATGATGACGTAGGTAGTACATGAGTGTTCCTTCCCAGTGAGCACAAGACGTAATTTCAACGTTGAAATATGGTTGAAATCGGGTTGAAATTAGGTCTGAACGTCTAAGACCTCATTTCAACGTCTTTTCAACCGGCTAAAAATGGGATGAAACATCAACGTGCCAGAAAACGTCAATTTGTTGATAAATGTGTCATGTTGTAACGTAAGGTTGAAAGAGAGACGATATTAACGTTAAGATTTTCATAATAATTAATGAACTGGTCGGCGAAATTTGGTCTACGCGAAGACGTGATTTCAACGTATTTAATATTTCACTTAAAACGTCATAAATATGAAACTACGGACTGCGTGCTGTTAATAAGATGCGTTTAAGGCATAATAATGCGGGCAGGTTCAAACATTACTTGTAAACACGTGACTCCGCTCACATCTGTAACGCGCATGCGCGAGTTCTTAGACGCCTGCAGAGCTCCGAGCGGACGAGGCGAAGTTACGGCAGCGGAGCGACATGAACGGGCTGATAGAACCACGACTACCGGCTCCACTACTCTGTAAGTACGGGAGTGTTTGGATGAAGCACACATGGAACTATAACCGGGTGTTTTACTTGTGCTGCCCACCCGATACGGGAAAGACGGCCCTTTTTGTTAAGCTAGTTAGCGTTAGCGCAGGTAGTTTGCTAGTTAGCATGCTAGCTTGGAGCATGCTAGCGTGCAGCATGATGACCTGGACCAAAAGTAAACATCCCAGAATATTTTTCGTATGTTTGGTGTTACTAATGCGTTAGGTTGTTGCTGTACCCATACATGTTATTGCATTTCACACTGAAGATACGTTTTTAAAGCAATGGGGGCTAAATACAGATTGCAAGGGTGAAGGGCTGAATTCAACAAGTTGTGCTCTGTAAACAAGAGGCCGAAACATTGTAAGTTACTGCTGCTTAAATCATGATACTGTGTAATGTACCTGGACATGTTACTCCAGAAATACCATAAGTTGCAGATGAATTGTTATCTTGTTTATAATGTAATAAGTAAACCATCTATAAATGAGTGTTCTAACGCACCTGCTGTTATTATTATTATTAGTTTATTACTGTCATCATAAACCCAAATTACCAACTTTGCCGTTGTGCTTCCCTCCTCACAGGTTTCTGCGGGTGGTGGTTGCATCTGATGGAGGTTACGTCTGATGATGGTTGTCCCTGCACTGGTCCTGCCTTACCCCTGGCTTAATAATCCACAATATTAGAATCATTTATGTTGTAGGAATCGGATGTACTGTACATCTTTTAAGTTGTTCACACCTTCTTCCCTACTGTTTTCCCCTCAGGTTTATCCAGGTTGAAGGGGTTTTACATTTTGGGGTTTAGGGGATAGGGTGTTGCATGTTTACAGATTGCAAAGCTGAACAAAATAAAATGATTTGAATTGAATAAACACGTTGACCAGAGGAATCTGTTCTGTGCACTCTGACTCCCTTTACACAAAGAATCCTCAAGTGAGGATGAGGGAGATGCAGCTGATTTCAGGTATACTATCCCAACTCAAGTGAGCCACATCTTGTTACAGAATCTATAATGAAGTTCCAATGATTCAGAAAAATGGTCTACAAACACAGAATTGTTGAACAAAGAAATGTTGTTTCTGCACTTTTAATTCCATAATTTATTTTCCTGAAAAATATATTTTATTTCTGTATTGTTTTTAATTAGACAAAGTGCTGTTATATGTATAGTGTTATATTTATAATAAATACAAATCAATAAAATAATGTGTTTGTCCTTGTTACGGGATGTTAACATGACAACTGTGACTAAGTATGTAACTTGTACGTTTCCATCTAGCAATTTATCCGTTGAAACAACGTTTAAAAGACGTCTATGGCCCGACGTTGAAAACACGTTGCAAATTGGTTTAAAAGTGAAAGTTGTTTCAACGTCTATTCGTAGACGTTGAAACAACTTTCGCGTATAGACCCGTTTTCAACGTGATTTATAATATCGGTGGTAAACTTACAAATGTGGACGTAGTTTCTTTTTAAACCTCTAAAATAATGATATAGCACACAAGAGAAGACGAAATATTACCGTATTAAAAAATCACGTTGAAATGTGGTCTAAACATAGACGTCTTTTCAACGTCTACGAATAGACGTTGAAACAACTTTCACTTTTAAAC